TGACACAGCATTTACATATATGTGTCGAGGCCACAAAAAGAGCAGAATCTACGTGGAAGAGAATCTACCTATATTAGTTTTATTATTATATCATTTTTTAATTGTAGTTTCATCGAAACTACAAACATTTTCTTCGTCTATATCTATACACGTTAATCAAAGAAGAAAAGAGAGGATTTTAAACGTGAGAGGACATAACATCACTCAAGGCTTTTCGTCGACCAATGGTCACACATCCGAATTGGGAAACTCGTTTCGCTCGTGATCTACTTTTTTTCTGTAGATCTGTTCGTAGCAAAAGCATCTTGTATCATTGCAATAGAAGTTGACACGTTGCAGAATTATACCTTTCATAATTTTCTTTGTGTCAAATGTGTATAATTAAAAAAAAATCTAGTTTCAGTTTACGGATCTCTCTCTCTCTCTCTCTCTCTCTCTCTCTCTCTCTCTCTCTCTCTCTTCTCCCTTCTCTCTTTGTGTTTCGCTCTTTTTTTTTCTTTTCTCTTTCTCGTCTTTTATGTAGTATGTATAAACGTGAAGTATTTCTGAGGAAGTTACAATCGAAATTTTTAAATTATTTTCTTTTCCTGCCTGTTTCTCGATCTCGCCAGATCGCGGAAGCAGCCAATTCCATTGTTTCAACCACCAGTGGCGGAAAGCATTCGGTTACCGCGAATTAAGTACTTAGTCAATCGCAAAACGTCCGCATCTCATTTGAAAAAAATGAGATAAACGTTTACACAAATTTCTACATACTATATATATAATAATAGAGAGAAGTCTCGTTCGAAATTTGGATATATATGGGTCATATCTCAAAATATTATTAAAAATTTTTATATATTGTTTCATTATTGCGTTTGAATATTAAGGTACAATTCTCTTACTTTTAAAAGCTATTTAAGTTTTTGTTAATCTTGATTCTTATGTAAATTAAAAATTGTTGACTTAAAACTGCAGAAAGATATAATCATTTTGCTGCGTAAAACTATAAGTCAAATTATTTGTTTTATTTTTGCAGTTGGTTTTAAGGTTAATATTAAAATTTTTAAAAATAATATTAATTGATATTGGCTTATTTTGATTGATTGTTTGATTGCTACTTTTAACTGAAATTGTATAGACAAAATTTTAACAAAAAGAACATTCTTAACAGATTCTTATCAATTCAATAATATTCAATATAAAAACAAGTTATAATAAATAAAATTAAAAAAGCAGATTCAGTTTATTATTTTAAATTCTTTTATAATTTTTTTTTACGAGAAAAGATTAATATTTTTATCAATAACAGTATTTAAAAAAAATTTTTTACGAAATAGAATTAGAGTAGCATTAAGTTTTGAAATTTTCATACATTATATGTACAAATTAGAATTGCATAATTCTCTCAAATGACACATTAATATAACGTAATCGAACAAAATTCAGTCAAACGTTTTTATGAATCCAACAAGCAGCTGTTAGATGTTCATGACATGCCAGTTACGCTTTCTATCCAAGGTGAGCCGAAAATCATACTTTTTAAACGCATGTGAACGCACACGCACGATAATGAGAGCTATGCTGAGCCAAAACTCAATTTTAATTTTTCTCGGATTTGAATAGGCTGGCGGGCAATATCAGTTATAATTATCGTTTTACAAATCCATTCGTACAAAGTAGAGATTCTCGCGATTCAGCCTGCCCTCAGCTCTCACTCACGTTTTTCGAAACGCGCTGCATTTAAATGTAATTTAACTACTATCCTACACAAGATCCATGCTTATTTATCATCTATCATATACTTATCATCTATCCTATTGTCTGTTTATCCGAATATATAGAGGAAAGGCTCCTATTATGAAACACTGTTTATTTTGGGTAAATGGTAGAAATCTATCTTGGGTAAATGGCAGAATTTTAAAAAATAATATTGGATTGTCCGGACAGTTCGTGCCGATGTTGAAAGAAAATTTTAATTTAATAAATGTATACTAAAATTTAAATTTTGATCGGCACGAACTTTTCGGACAACCCAATAGGTTATTTTGATAAGAATTTAATTTTAAGATAATGTTATGTAAAATTTAATTCAAATTTTTTTTTTTATAAATTAAAGAAATGTAAAAAATGAGCAAATCACAAAGTCAAAAAATTGTGCTTCTAGTATGAGATGAGAAATTGATAATAAAACGCAAAGTATCTGTATTACAATTAAAAAACTTTATTTAATATTTCTAAAATACAAACAAACATAGTGCGCCCGCAAAATGAGTAGGGTAGGTAGTCCAACAATGAACCAGTAGTACACTCACATGAATTGCTATTGCGATATTTTGTAAATGCGACGTTATCAGATTGTGCTATCATGCAGCGACTCGCATTTGAACCCTTCCTCGACTGGCAGAGCGCCAAAAACGGCTATGTAATGTCATATTTTTAAGAATTTTGAATTGCAAATTTTTTTCGTAAGTTTTACACATTTTTTATGTTTCTGTTGCTATACCTATTATTTTTTTCATTGTGCAATAGTTTTGTGTGCACATTTGACTTTATTATTCTGTAAACACCTTTTTCTGTTATATTATTTTACCATATTATTTAAGAGATTATCGTGGAAAAAGTTAGATGGTTTACAATGAATCATTTTGACGTAGTGAACAATGAACCATGGTATATTGTAGACCACATAATCTTTTTTACGATTACTTTCAAAATAATAATTCATTATAATATTCATTATAATTATACAGAATATGACCTCTTCCCCCACCTAAAACCTCAATAAAAATATACTCATTTATACTCATTTTCATTCAAAATGAAAGAAAAACGTGGTGAACGGCCTTGTGAATTCTCACCACCTTATAATTATCTAATTTATAAATGAATATTTTAAAATATAGCAAAACTAAAATAATCTCAACAATTCGCAGTACAAAACATGTAGTTTATTATTAAAAATAACATGGTTCATTGTGTACAAATCCCTTGTATATAATGAACCACTTCCCAATTTTTTAAATAATCGAATTGTGATTTTTTAAAGAATCTAAATTTAAACAATAACTTAAAAGTTATTGTTTACAGTATGTAGCCAATTAAATTCATAAACTGTATGCCAAAACTCAGATCTTCAATTCAATAAGTGAAAGAGATATAAGCCTCTGAAATTTACATGATTCATTGTTGGACCATTTACCCTATGCAATGCATTGTACCTAGGACTCTTCACATAACTGAAACCAAGCATCGCAAAAACAGGCACTCTTTATTCCGATTGTTCTTTTTATTATTGTACAATAACATTTATATTTCAGTAACGATTTTCACTATGACATAGAAGCATAAGTTATTTCATAATAGAAAAACCCTGAATATCTCATATTACGATTTCTACCCCTTATGATTTTACGATCATCACCTAACTTTTGTAATTAAGCAATTCAACATATCCCGTATGTTTTATTAATACGATCTTATTCTATCACCACATAATAAGAATTTGTTACCAAATATTTATTTATTAAATAATAAACAAGATTTAAAGGTTCATCTCGAAACTTGACAATATCCAAATTCTAAATTCTTTTTTTGTAACAACTACAGGCATAATCTAATAATAAATTTTCCATGGTTTTTAATAGGGCAATAAATTCATAGTGGAACCAATAGAGCGTTTATTAGTTTAGCGAAAACGCTGCTTTCTCATATTAAGCGCCTATCTCATAGGAAGCTTTCCTCTACAAATTATATGTCCGCATACAAAGAATGATTTTGCTGAAATATATAAAAATTTAGATAGATACAGATCTGAAAATAATTTTATTGAAAAAAATAATCAATAGGAAATTCAAGCATGATGAGCAATGCTGTAAAATTAAAACTTTTGCATTCAACTATACTCCACAATTATTTTAATAGTTCAGATCTATATTTAGCCAAATTTTTAAATACTTCAACAAAATTGTCATTTTCATCCATAAGATACAAAAAAACTACACTACTTTGAACAATATCTTTGAATATATCTAAATAATATTAATATTAACGTTTCCAAATTAAACTCACAATAATTAATCGACAATTTGTTTAGCTGTGAGAAAATTTTGGATTAAAGAAAGCAGTATTTTTGTGGACATCGACTTATATAGAAAGTTGCAGCCAGCTGTAGAAAATGGGCTAAAACTTGTATGACAAACATAATTTGAGGGTGATATAATATTTCATAATCTTTCTTTAAATATTCATGAAACGTACATTGTATTTTTCTTTCGTAAAATTCTTGTAATGTAAGGGCTATGCGATATTATTAAAAAGTTTGTCATTAACAATTTTATAAATGTGGCACTTGAAGCAATAAAATCAATAAATATATATTTTTTAAATAATAATAATGAAGTTACTATGAAGTCTTATTTTGTGATATTTTATTCATAACAATATATCATTCTTTATTAGGAATAAAGCAACATATAATATGCAACATATAATATGCAAAACACTTTTCATCTAAATTTATACAATAACATTGTGCAGCAACCAAAATTATTATGAACATCTCAAGTAAATGAGTATCAATAATAAAAATGATTTCGTTCAGAAACTGTCCTTTTTATCAACAAAATAACCATGATATAGCGTATAATATCGAAGCAATTAGATAAATTCTTGCCATCTTTGTGACATAACATGTTATATGGTCCATTTCTCACGTTCATTCGTCATTGAATCGATGCTACGTGTAGTCATGAGTGGACGCAACCAATCTGAATAGATGGATTTTAATAAAAGTATAGAGACAAATTTGAACAAACGCATACGGCTTTATATCGCAAAAAGAGATAAAAAATGATAGAAACGAAGAAAAAGAGAGAAAGAGGAAGAGAGATTTGTAGTAGGTGCGTTGCATCTCATAGGGCATAAGTCATAGATGATTAGTCGAGGCATCGAGTGGGGCTTCCATAGTAGGCCTATATAAAAAGGAACTTCAAGACATCCGCGGAGTTTCAGTCCTC